CAACATGAACAGTCTTCCAAGCATCCTGAAAAATCTACAACCAGAAGAGGATAAAATAGATGAATGGGACCTTCTAAGAATCAAATCCCCATGCGCATCCAAAATCTTCAACAAGGGAAAGCCACAGACTGGGAAAAAATATTTGGTAATGACATGTCAGCTAAGGGACTTATATCTAGAATTTATAAAATACCTAGCACCACAAAAAGATAAAGGTGAACAATCCAACTGAAAAATGGACACAGGATATGAACAGACACACCAAAGATGACATTCAGATGGCGAGCAAGCACATGAAGAAATGTTCAAAATCTCTAGCTCTAAGAGAGATGCAAATCAAAACAACTATGAGATATCATCTCACCCCAGTCAGAATAGCAAAATTTAACAGAATAGCAAGCAATAAATGCTGGTGAGGTTGTGGAGAAACTGGAACCCTTATTCACTGTTGGTGGGAGTATAAAATGGTGTAACTATTAATGGAAGGCAGTATGGCACTTTCGCCAAAAGTTGCAAATAGAGATACCATTTGACCCAGCAATTTCACTACTGGGACTATACCCCAAAGAAACCATAACCATCACCCAAGCAGATATATGGACACCCATGTTTATTGCGGCTCTGTTCACAATAGCAAAGAGTTGGAAACAATCTAAGTGCCTGTCAACAAACTAATGGATAGAGAAGCTCTGGTATATTCACACAATGGAATACTACACTGCATTGAAAAACAAGGAATTAATGAAATATTATATAAAATGGATGACCCTGGAGGACATTATGCTGAGTGAAATATCTCTCTCGGTCACTAAAAGACAAATACTTCATAGTATCACTGTTGTAAAATGGGACTGACATCAGGGTTGGGAGGAGACTAAGAAAGATGGGATAAATTATATATACTACATTGAAACAGATGAGGGAGAGAACTTAAAGGGGACATGTGATTAGGAATTATTGTCATGACAGGAGTCCAAAACAAGTCCAGGAGTCCATAGTGGAGTGGACTTGGGGGGAGGGATTGTATAACAATGAAAGATTTTTCTTTTACTTTTCAAAGAGAAGAGCAAACTAGGGTGGGGAGGGGTGGGCAGGGAGCAAAGTGCAACAATGAATGAACGGAAATCCAAAGTCTCTGTAAACGTTCATTAAAATTAATAGTAATTTTTAAAAAAACAAACATTTCCACTAACCCAGAAAAAAATCCCCACCCCTTACTATCTCTCCTCAATTTTCCACCCCTGTGGGTCCTAGGCAAACCATTTCTTTGCATTACCGATTACACAAATTTGTCTATTATTGGTGGTTCATGTACACGGAATCATAGGACATGTGGTCCTTTGTGACTGTTTCCTTTGACTTAACAGACCGATTTCAAAGTTCACCCACACTGAAGCATGTGTTAGTACTTCATTCCTTTCTATGGTCAAATATCCACCTCAAAGATTGTTGTTGCCGTGAGTCAACACCAGCCCACAGCTGCCCCTCCAGCCGTTTACAGGGGCAGTAAACCGCCCATGAGCCTTTGGCCTTTGGGATTGCAGCGCAGCTTCTTACCCCCAGGCCATCAGCTCATCTACCTTTCATTTTACCAGTTGATGGGCATCTCAGCTGCTTCCACTTTTCACTATCACAGGGACTAAAACTATGAGGAGCTAGGTGCCTATTTCAGTGTGGACAGCAGTGTCCATTTCCCTTCTGTATGCGCCTGAGAGAGACCTTCTGAATCTCATGGTGACCACGTGTTTGGCCCTCGAGGAACTCGAAGACATGTTCCGACATGCTATACCATTTTATCAAATTATTGTAAATACCATTTTATCAAATTATTGTAAATAGACGGTTGATTTTCAAACCTCCCTCAAATACAGAATAGTTGCTATTCTCTGTCTAATGTAAACCTACCACAGGTAATTCTCCATTGTCCCCACCACGGTGACCACCTTATTTACCACCCTTGCCTCTCCTCCTGCCCCTCTCAAAGAACACAGAAGCAAAGAGATAAAGCGCTCACTAGTCCGAGTCTTTGGGCTGCCTGTGATTCCTTAATAGGTGAAGAGGTTGTCAAGCCAGCAGGGAAGGCAGAAGGGAGAATCTAGAACAAACTGTCACTGGGGCTGCAGGCCAGTTTTAAAAAGATTAAAACCTAAGGCTAAGAATGAATTACTCCAAACAGGACAAGCCGTTTTATTTTTTTCAAAGGGGGGAATTTCCTAGTATAAGGAGGAAGACAGTAAGATTCTGAGAAGACGGAATTTTCTTCAGGAAAGACCAAGTTTCATTTTGGACATAAACTCGTGGTTAGGATACACTACTAGCTGCCTGAAATATTCCAACTCTGGACTTGAGCTGGTAACTCATCAGAGGTGACTATTCTGAACAACAGACAGCAGGCTTTATATAGTTCAGTAAATAAAGCATGCACATACACGATATACGTACAAATGAAGCATTATGTCTATCTAAAGTTTTCAATTGCCAAAAAAATCTGTAGAATTTAGATTCTGAACAACCAAGGGATGTCAGGTCTTCAAGGAACACCCTGGCTATTGACCGTGTTAATCGAAAAGGACACACACACATGAAAGCAATTATCTTAAACTCCCATTAAGGTCACGTCATTTTGCTGCCACCAACCTGACTCCCCTTCTTTTACATTCAAGGCCAACATTTTCATCGTTTTCCCAGCCTTCCAGCGAAGAGTAAAGCAGGTGGAAAGGGGGACTGTCGTTAGGTGCTGTCAGGATGACTGACTCACAGAGACCTTCTAACAACAGTTCTGGGTCTTGCCCTGTCTTCTGCCACCTGTACCTGAACACCTGGACGCTAAGGGCTGATGATAGTAAGAGACAACACACACACACACACACACACACACACACACACCCCAGCAGTCCACTCCCAAAGCAAAAGGCTCCAGGATTACATGGTGAAGGGACAGCAGGAGAGAGAACTTGAGCGTTCAGACCTGAGTGTGAGTCCTCAACAGTTAAGGCAGCCGATTGCTTAGGAAGAAGGTAAGAATGCAGGGCCTTTTGGAATACTGACTTCAAGATCGGAGAGTTCAATGAGAGGTTTTCTTTCACTTTTCTAGGCGAAGAGTGAATTGTGGGGGAAGAGGGTGGGCAGGGAGAAAAGTGCAACAATGAATGATTGGAAACCCTAAGTCTCTGTAAACTTTCATTAAAATTCATTTAAAAAAAATAATTGCTGGGGGAGAAAAAAGATCAGAGTTCAAATAGAATGGCAATCATTAAGATACAAATTACTTCCAAAATATTAGAATTGAGAGAAATGGCTTTGTTTTGTTGTTTTGTTTCCCTTCTTTCAGTTTGTTCTAGAAGAAGCCCTAGTGGTCCTTTTACCCAAAAGTTCAGCAGTTCAAAGTCACCACCTGCTCTTCAGAACAAAGATGAGAGAGTATTCATCAAGATTTACAGCCTTGGACACCACAAGGGACATTTCTCATCTGGCCTCCAGGGTCACCATGAGTCAGGACCCACCCGAGGGCGCTGCTCGGTTAGGTTACTTTGTCCCAAACCTGCTTCCGGTCTGGACAGACAGGACTTGAACAAGTAAATAAATCACTCAGGAAACCTTAGTCTGAAAACAAAATTATTGTTTTAAGCTTGGAAGAAACTGAGCAAACCCCAAATCATTTACCTGACTCCAACAAATAAAACTATTTGAGCACCACTTTTACAGATTATTTCTTTGCACCTTACATTTGTTTTCAAGCTGCTTCTACATTCAGTTAGGCTGGACGCAGTGGTACTGGAATGGGCCCAAATATGTCAACTGTGTGTCCTGGAGTGGAAAAAGTGTCCAGTCAAAGCCCTGAATGTGCCAAGGGACACAGCAAGCCCTTCCAGAGGTCTGATTCAGGAGACCAGGTAATTACCATACCTGTGGAAAATAACACACTTTTAGAGGGGGCAGCTGGCCACCTCCACCGAGCAGAGCCCGGATGTTCTCACCCTACTGATCAGGAGATTTGGTCGAAGTACCACCACATGCTGTCCTTGCTTTCTGAGACGAAGGTAAAGTTTCTAGCAAAGCACTAGCCTACAATTTCTCTCATTCTGGTACATCCACATTTTACAACTCTGGGTCTGTCCTGGTTTCACTTCACTGGCCATGACTAAAGCAGGGAGAACTGGTTTGAAGTCCTACTTTGGACAGAAGTCCCAGAGCTAATCCTCTGGAGATCAGAGGTTCTCAGAGAGGGGAGTCCAGAGCAGCAAAACTGGCAGCTCTGAGATCTTGTCAGAAATTCAGCTACGTCTCAGACCAACTGATTCAGAAACCGTGAGGTCCAAAAGTCTGCATTTCAAGAAGCCTTCCCGGAGATGCTGACACTCACTAAGCTATATACTGACTGTTTCGGATACCACGGGATGTAAAAGGCACTGGACTTGTTTTCTACAATGACATGACAATGGCAAATGGCGATGGAAAGTCAGTGGCACACTGTTAGTTCTGATACTATGTCCTCTCTAGATTAAGGCCACTTAGCAACCTAGTGAGAAGGAACTACACTGCCATCCCAAAGGCATACGGTTCAAATCTACCAGCTTCTCCTTGGGAGAAAGATGGGAAATCTGGTCCTATGCAACTTATAGCCTTTGACAACCCACTGGAGAGTCAGCTATGAGTTGGTTCTGACTCGATGGCACATAACTGGGAAGCAGGAGCTCCGGTGTTGTAGTCCATGAGGACCTGCTCTGCTCATCCCAAGTGGTGCCTCTGTGGCAGCCTGAACCCACCGGCAGCTCCATAGGAGAAAGACAGGCCATCTTTTCCCCTGAGATTTGTTGTTAAGAGCTGAGTATGACTCATGACGCCATGAACAACAGAGCTCAACGCTGCCTCTCCTGTGCCATCCTCCTCATCTCTGACTTACGTGAGCCCTGAAAACCCACTGGAGGGTCAGCTACGAGTCAGTTCTGACTGGACACCAATAAGTACGTTCACTAAGAAGAAGCGCGTGAAGACATTACCTTCCAGATGCTTCAGGAGCGCCCTACTGGAATTTCCATGCGCTGATATCAGAATGGTCTTGCCGCTCAGCACTTCTGGAGCAATCCTTTCGTTCCAATAGGGAAGGAGTCTTTCCAGAACATCCTTTAAGCTCTCAGCCCGCGGCAGCTGATCGAGAGGCACGTCGCACACCTTGTATCTCCGGTCACTGTAGATCTCGTGGTAGTAAGGGTGGGACTCATCGATGGGCGGCGGGGTCACGTTGTAGCTTCTTCTCCAGATCCTCACCTGCTCCTCCCCGTGATTCAGAGCCATCTTCTCTCGATTGAGACCGATCAGGGCTCCATAGTGACGCTCGTTCAGACGCCAGGAGCTTTCCACGGGAACCCACTCCTGCCCCAGCTCCTCCAGGATCAGCCAGGCTGTGTGGATGGATCGATTGAGGATGGATGTGAACACAAGGTCAAACTCAAAGTTCAGCTCCTTGAGTTGCTTCCCACAGTTCCGAGCTTCCTCCAGTCCTTCACTGTTCAGTTTCTGGTCCACCCAGCTGCAAAAGCGGTTCTCCTTATTCCAGGCTCCCTCCCCGTGTCTTAACATAACAAGCTTGTACTTGGACATACTGGTGGTGGAGCTTCCCTGGCGCTACAAGTGGGTCAGTGTTCGGCAGCAGCTGTAAATCTAAGGAGAGAGGAAACGGAAGAGGATGTTAGAGTCCTCATTCAACCAACAAGCTAGAATGGAAACACATGTTTTATGACGTCTGGTTTCCAGAGTAACTGGAACTTCTCTCCATAGGCTTGCTGTCAGACATGTACAACCCACCTCCCCGTGGTCTGGACAGTCATCCCCTGCAATTAATTACAGGGAGCCCAGGTGTCTGATATCTTCTGATGGCTGGATAGTGAGTTAATTGAGTGATACGAAATAATAGCACAGCTATTTCATTCTAATGGCAGGTTGCATTTCGGCCTGAGAAAGAAAGGAGGTCTGTGCTTACAACAGAAAGGATTTACTATAATTTTAGCTGTCATCTGACATACTTTGGACATGTTGTAAGGAGGGGACCAGTCCTTGGAGAGGGACATCATGCCTGGGAAGGTGGAGGGACAGCGCAGGAGAGGAAGGCCCTCTGGGAGGTGGATTGATTCAGTGATTGGGGTAATCGGGATGGGAGTGTCGGAGGCAGTGTGACTGGCACAGGACAGTTTAGGGCTGTTGAACATAGGGTCGCTATGAGTCGCAAGCGACTCGACGGCACATAACAACAACAAAAGGATGGCAATGAGCGAGAGAACTGTATAAAAGGAACATATGATTAGGTACTATTGGCACGACAACAGTCCAGAATAAGAGATGCATAGTAAAGTGGTCAGGGGGCAGGGACGGGGGGATTGTTTAACAGTGAAAGAACCTTTTCTCCAAAAAAAGTGAACTGGGGAGGGGGATAGCTAAGGAAGAAAATGTGCAACAATGAATGAATGGAAATCCAAGTTCTTCAGAAAAATTTCATTAAAATCTAAATGAATCAATCAAAGGATGGCAAGTGCTGGGAACACCCAGCAGCAGACTCTGGATGCAGAGTATCCTTTCCATTGGACTTTCTCTCTGTGGAAAGCAAAGATCGACTGCCAAGCCTTCGTGTTACAGAAGCTGTTGGGTTCATTACCTCAACGAGCCACCACAAGTATCCATTACGTCACGGATTGGTGGCAACGTGCTGTTTACCACCACGAACGAGCACACTGAAGAAATGTCAGGTATGTAAGAGATCGAGCCAACATCCAAGCAGCACTGCAATAATTTCAAGTGGCATTAACACCAAATGTGATACGTAACCCTCTCAGGGCTGAGCTCTGGGCAGAAATCAATCCAGATGCAAAACAAGTTATCAGAGGCACACAGCAGAGACACGCTGCGGGTAAAAACAGATTAGCAAGGACAGGTCCTGAGGGGGTGCGAGGAACCCCACTGATAAAGAGGTACCTCCCTTCCACCTCGATCTTCCAGAAGTCTCCACACACTAGCCACCTACCTGGAGAAGAATCTAGCCAAGTGGCTCTGGCGGACCTAATCCCTTCTGAACTTCTGACATTTAGGCTGGTGGTCCAAAGGTGTGGAGAATCCACAGATCTGGCTGTCCCAGCCTCCATGCCCCTGGGTGCACAGAGCTGCATGGACAAACACTGCTCTGTCTCCATGCCCAGCGCTCCCCGCCTCCACCCTGGAAGTCCAAGCTGGGGAGTGAAGATTACATGAGCGTCTGGGCCTGGTCTTCTGCCATTCTTGGCAACTCCCATCAGCCAGAGATTTTCTGTGGCACTTACACAGTGATTCACCAACAGTTACATAATATTTGATGACAAAGTTGCTAGAATCTCCATCTAGTTTCTTGCTGCCTTTAGTAACTCCTAGACATTTTGAGGTGGAGAAAAAAAGTCCTTCATGAAGGTTTCCTGTCTCAGTGGAAAGCAAGCCGGGGTCCTGAGGAAGGTAGTGATGTGGAAGGAGTTTACAGCGAGGTGTTTCAGCTGACATTCCTCCTTTCTCTCCAAGCATCAGGTCTAAAGTTTTTTGTTTATATGGAATATGGATGTGCTCAGTGTTGCCAGGAGCCTGGACTCAGCGAGACGCACCTCAGAGGGCTGAGAATTCTGGAGCTGGGCAGTGGAGTGTGTCAGGGAGGTTGAACAGGGACCTGGGTGACCGATGACAGGTTGCTGACAGAGTTTCTCAGACCAGAGACGAAAGACCCTGAAGGCAGGAGGCTACAGCTTGAAGGCCCCACACCAGAACCACCCTAACAAGAACCGGGGAGAGGTCAAGCCATGGATTCACATTGTAATGGACGCCTGAATTTTGTTTTGGCTTTTCATTTCCAAAATGTTTTCCTGTAAGATCCCAGACCCTACCAATTCTGGATTTCCTCCTGCTTAGAATTGGTTATCATTTGTGTTTTCTTGAAGGTGGGCAGGAGGGTGAAAAGAAAAGTTATCAAATATTTCTCTACCAAACCCTCGGCTTTCTTCCAGGAAGCCCCTGCAGGCTCAGCAGCTGTTTTCTCCCAGGAGGAGGAGAGCAGGGTAAACGACTTTCTAGACAGGAGCACCCATTCCCTCATTCTTGGATTGTGAGCGCTACCAACACACAAAGAACCGTAGTAACAACATCACGACACTCGCCCACCCACCACCGAGCTTTGCAGCTTAACATTTTGCAGAATTAAAACAGAAGTAAACAAATGTTTCTGTTTTCTTCTCATAAAGACATCCTTCCTTATCCTCAGGAGCGGAGAATGGCTCCAAGGGAAGGTGCCAAACTTGCATGTCTGTTTCAGATCAACAAAAAATTGCTTCCTTTCCTCTTTCTCAGCCTTATCAACTGACTTTCTCCCCTTAACTGCAGCCTATTGACCATGTGTTGAAATTTACTGAGATCTTGGGTTTGCAATCATTTCATAAGATTTCCGTGCACTGCTAGCTGGTATAACAAGGGTTTACCAGTTACCAACCTGAAGTAACGCTGGAATCAGGTGATGGCAAGGTAAGTCTTTAAGGCAGGGCTCTGCGATCTCAGATGCCTACAGTGGTCAGACAGGTGTGTGAAGAGGGGTCAAGCTGGACCACCAGGGGCAAGGAGAACACAGATGGCAAAGAATGGACAGGTTACTCTGGTGAAGACAACCTTTGTGGCCATGGTCAAGGCTGTCCTAGAACCCACAGACCCAAGAACTCCATCTCCAGAACTTCTCTAAACGACAGAAAGGCGGGACCGCCGAAATCACAGGCTCCTGACATGAGAGAATGCAAGACTCAGCTCAGATCATGGGGACCCTGTAGATTTTGTTCATATAGAAGTAGATGTCTTTCAAAACTTCACAATGGCAAGCTTAGAAGCAGGAGTGGCATCCACTTCCATAATAGCTTGCCTCTGGAAACCCTATGAACCCGGAGAAAGGATGAAAGTTATACAGGTGTCCAGGACTTTCGTTCATAGAGTCGCTAGGAGTTGCCTACAACTCGACGGCACTTAACAACAAACACCACAATTTTCAGATGCAAAAAAAAAAAAACAAACCCAACAAATTCCTTTAATAAAAGGGGGAAGCCCACACTCAGCTCCATGTTGTCCTGGGAGATGGGAAAAATACACCACCAGCACTCCTTGTTAAGTGCCTTCAAGTAGATACAACTCATAACAATCCTGTGAACAACAGATCTGAACCCGGCCCTATCAGTGCCGTTCCCACCATCCCTGATATACCTGAGCCCGTCTTGATGGTCTCCCTCTCTTTTGCGGATTCTCTACCTTTCCCAGCATAACATCTTTTTCCAAGGACTAGCTCCCCCTAACTACATACCCAAAGTCTGTGAGATGAAGTTTCATCATCCTTGCTCTGAGGAGCACCCTGGTTGAACTTCCTCCAAGACAGATTTGTTTGTTCATTTGACAGGTTCTAAGATATTCAGCACTTTTCTCCAGCACTACAGTTCAAAGGCTTCCATTTTCTTTGGTCTTCCTTATTCACTGTCCAACTTTCTGATGCATAGAAAGTACATGAAAAGGCCATGGCTTAGATCAGGGGCACCTGGTCTGACACCTGTGCTCTTTAGCACTTTGGAGAGGTCCTTGAGAGCAGAGTGTCTCAATGCCACACATCCTTTTGATTTCTTGACTGCTGGTGCCAAGAGCGATGACTGAGTATCCAAGCTAGATGGAATCATTGACAACTTCAATCATTTCTCCAACTATCACGATGTTGCCTATTGGTCCAGCGGTGAGGATTTTTGATGTTGAGATGTAACCCATTTTGAAGACTGTACGTAGTCTTTGCTCTTCTGCAGCAAGTGCTTCAAGTCTTCCTCACTTTCAGCAAACAAGGCTGACAATTACATAATGCAGGTTGTTGTGGAGTCTTCTGATCCTGAGGCCACATTCTTCTTCATCTAGGCCAGCTTCTTGAAGGATCTGCTCAGCATACAGACTGAGTAGGGAAGGTGAAAGGCTGCAGCCCTGACGCACACCTTTCCCGATTTGAGCTTTCACTCTGAGAATCATGCCATATTGAGCTTCTCTTGCTCTCCTCATGTATTTGCTGCAAACTTCCTGAAGACTGAGCCTGTCAAGATCCCATTACAACCCTGAATGACTTCCTGTTGGCCTCAGGACAAAACCCTCAATGTGACTCACAAAGATTCGGCTTTCTGCTTCCTTGAGCACTCCTTGTTCTTTCTTACCTCAGGACCTTCGTACATGCTGCCCCCTACGCCAAACCACTGTCTTCATTGCCTCTCCTCCACTGCGACCCTACCCCATGCTGCTTTGGGCAATTTCTACTGCTCTTGTGAGCCAGTTGGGTCACAAGCCTCTAGCGAGTTCTGAGAGCACATCACCCCTCTTTGTCCCACAGAGGACCATGTGCTTTGGGTTTGGCAGTTCCTTATCATGAGGTCACCAGAGCTCCCTAATCTCTGAGTGACTGTAACAATGAACTTGAACATTAAAGACAGTGTGGATGAAGTAGGGTAAGACAAGGCTCAGATCTGATTTTCACAGGGTCACGACAAGTCCTAGGAGTCAACCTGACGGCCCCCGACAACAAACAACATCCATCCTTGAGATCAATTCTGTGT